TTTAAATTCTGTGGTTTACTTTTCTCACGCTAGCGAGGTTTGTCTCTGTCTGCTGTACGTTGTAATTGGCTTCTTTAAATTTACGTTCTTTTGCCATCAAAATTTTTCCTTTGTTTCGCAACTACTAAGTCAATCAGGCTGTTTGAGTATTGTATGCAGTTTTAAGCGATCCTCACAGGGATTTGAAGCACAACTGGAATCCAGTATGTAGTTACAATTATGTGGCGTAATTACTTTCTTCCGTTATCTTATATTCTTTTTCTTTCTCTCTCTCAAAGCGGCTTATGTAACAGGAAATTAATACCGTTTGCTAAGTAATTAAAACGTTGAAGTATCTCAATATTAGTTACAGTACGAGACTCTTCAGAGTCAACGCCGTGAAGCCAACATTTGGTCGAAGATGCTGCTTATTAGCAGTAAAGCATGTATATTAGAAAATATACGATTAATTCAGTCATCAACTTCCATTAAACTCTACAATTTGTTTAAGCGCAAAACTACTCAATAGGCTATCTGCGCTGTGCCCACAAGAAGTATTTACCCTCCAAATTATAGCGTTATAAGCCTTCAGGGTTACTGCTTATCCACTGGTTTGTGGGAGGGGTTGAATTGATATTAGAAACTACGATAGATTGATTGAGAACATGAAATTAAAACGGCATTATTCTAAAGTATAGTCGACTATATAATATTGTTATTAGTAGATATAAATCTTAGCAAGATTTCGCTAGATATAACATAGTAATTAGTCTTAGCAATATTTAAAAGCGATTTAGCAAAACGTATAGTCGGCTAGATAACACGGTAATTAGTTGATGTAAATCTTAGCAAGATAGGTAATTTATTAGAACGCATAGACAGTTAAATAACACGGTAGTTAGTTGATGTAAATCTTAGCAAGATAGGTAATTTATCAGAACGCATAGACAGTTAAATAACACGGTAATTAGTTGATGTAAATCTTAGCAAGATAAGTTATTTATCAGAACGCATAGACAGTTAAATAACACGGTAATTAGTTGATGTAAATCTTAGCGAGATAGGTAATTTATCAGAACGCATAGACAGTTAAATAACACGGTAATTAGTTGAGTTAAATCTTAGCAAGATAGGTAATTTATCAGAACGCATAGACAGTTAAATAACACGGTAATTAGTTGATGTAAATCTTAGGAAGATAGGTAATTTATCAGAACGCATAGACAGTTAAATAACACGGTAATTAGTTGATGTAAATCTTAGCAAGATAGGTAATTTATCAGAACGCATAGACAGTTAAATAACACGGTAATTAGTTGATGTAAATCTTAGAGAGATTTCAAAGCGATTTTTAGGGCGCTCGACTCCCAAGCTGTGGGTCGCAGGTTCGAATCTCGTCACCGAACACATAAGCTCTTTCAGCCGTGGGGCATTATAATGTTACGAGAGAAAAAAAATCTAGACCTTTAAACAGTTGAGAAGTATTATAAACCATATTATCTTCAATATTTTAAAAGCATAATTAATTTCCATATGGAACAACAGTTATTGCTACTACAGTGTGCTAAAGTTACGAATGCCCTATTTTACTGTTGTTAGCTTGAAGCTTTATTCTTTTTCAAAGCTAACAAACATTCAAAGTTCTCAAGAAGGGCGATACTATAAATGTGAGTTCAGCCAATAAATTCATAGTTAAACAAAGAGAAAGTGGTGAAAAATAAACGTCAGGTTAACAGAAATTATTAACCTTCGAAGAGGCGGATCAGAGATTTATATATAAGTTAGCATATACTAGGAGTTATATCTTTTTGAAAACTAATAATGAGAACGATAGCCAACATAGGTAATCTAGAATTGTGGGATACCACATTAGGACTTTAGCCTGACTTGAAATGACTATGTAAAATATTTACAGAAGACTAACGCAGGGTTAATGGAAACGGTCAGATTGTATGACTTTATTTCATATTAGCAGACACGTTACTTAAATCAGAGCAACAGAGGTAATTATAACTTGTCATCTAGAAATCAGCTAAATCATACATAAATTAGTAACACACCATTGTGTTTCAGAAAATCTTACCATTAAAGGCTGACATTGACTACTCGACTCAAGAGGTGCAGCAGGGTTGCCAGATGGACTCCCTGAAGAAATCTTTCTTGACTTTGGACTTCGTGGGCAAGCCCTGGAGGTGTCACAATCACCCGCGTGCTTCAACATTAAGGACGATATAGTACAGCATGCGCTGGAATGCTTGTCGACACTGGCAGCTAAAAAAAGAAAACAGAGAAAAGTTGAAAGGTTGGTTGGTTTTGTTGACATTCGCGTAAAGATACTCAAAGTTTAGTTTGGTTGTTGTTAAGCTGTACAATGGACTATCTGTGCTGTGCCCACCTAGGATATCGAAATCCGGTGTTTAGCGCTATACGCCTTCAGATTTATCGTTAAGCCACTGGTGGGGGGCGCTACTCTAGGGCTATCTTCGCTAGCTGTCCCTAATTTTGAAGTGCTAGACTAGAGGAAAAGCAGCTAATCAACATCACAAACCAACAACTCTTGAGTTACTCTTTACCGACGAATTGTGGGAATAATGATGATGCTGTTATAATCTGTCTGTTTGAAAGATACGATATATTTAGGCTTAGCGAATATACTAAGCTAGGCCAGTGATAATATATTATTGAGATGATACAAATCCTTCCATATTGAATATATTGTATTTAAGTAACACACAAAATATAAAACTTATTATTTATTAAAAATATACTATCAGATACTGGACTACACTCGCAATCGGTAATATGGAACAGAAAAATCGTATTATGTTGTAGTTCAAAATAAAGGCAACATTATACGAAAGGAAGACAAATGGGAAGTTTAGCATATATCTTCTACGAGGTAATACGAATAAATCTCGCATTGAAATAAAATATGGATAGAATTTATTATATAAATGTATTTAGAATATAAACATAATTAAAGAGATTCCAGATGACTGTGAAAGTTTTCGATGGATATCTGTCACTCAATGTTCGCAGTTAGATCTCCTGCATCAGCCTTTGGTTCCTATTGCTAGTTCTTTTATCAGCACATCTGTATCCACCTGATGTGCTACGTTACCCTTAATGCTTTCTTCAGTCAGGACTTCTGGGATAATGGTCAGAATTGTTGCCAGGAGATTAATAAATGTTTTGTTGCTACAGGTTCTAATTTTGTCCCTTGTAACATTTCACTTTCTCGAACCTGTTCTTTCTTTTTTTTTTTTTTT